TATTTAAGATGCTTCGAACTTGTGTAAATATTATTATTTAAGATGCTACGAACTTGTGTAAATACCCTGAAAGCAGAAAATACTGGGAATGTATGGTTTGATCAAGTGCGTCAGCTCAGCTCCGTCGTTCTGAATCTAAGAGTTGCTTAGTTCAGTCTAGACAGGAACAACTCATTAAAGTGAGTCTTTGGAGGAAACACCAACAAAAACCTGGTCCACAAACTAACAAGACAAATTAAGAGAAAGAAAATGATTTGCTTGATGGGTTTTAGAAACGATGACAAAACTAGAGAGATCTGAAAAAATGCACATTAATAAAATGCTGTCTTTGTCTTCTCAAAACTGCCTTTAGCTCTTGTACGATGTAATACTAGTTTTCTTACACAAAGCTGTTTAAGTGCTCAGTCCATAACACTGAAGCACCTTTTACCAATATGTTAATATTTCTGTCCAATATCTTGTGCCAGTTATGCACCAGAACAAGTCTCTTGACCAGTAATGAAGTTCTCTGGTAGTGGCACGTTATTTGAAACAAGTGAGGGGAACAAAACGGTGACGACTGGGGCTTCAGCCAGTCCTCTAAGTTTTATCTCCGATTCATTTCACAGCAGAAACATCATTCAAAGTTAAACCAGGTCACAAACATTTGGGTTTGTTTCCATTTTTTACACCATCACACTTCAAGTTTTATGATTTTTATACTGGTTTTTTCAACATCTGTGGAAAAATCAGTCTGACAGTCGATGATTTGGCACCGACTTCAGACTTGTGTAAAACTGTCCTTGTCTTCCACTGCTTAGGGACTTGGTTTTCTCTCAACCTCCCAGAATGCAGAGTGCCTAGTCAACCTTTTGCAGATTCTATTAAAGTCAAGCTCAGAAATGTCTCTTCAAACTAGGAAGTGAAGGTTTTTTAGCTGTGTATCTCCTACAGTGTGGAAACAAACGGTGTGACCATCACTCCTCGGCTCATGGTTCAAGATTCTGAGAGGTCGTGTTGAAACAGCCCAGTCTAGATCACCTTCTTCTACCACAGGGAAGTTCTAAAACAAGTTGAAGCACTTTCACACCTTGCAAACATAAATGTGCACAACAGTCTCTGTGCACCACATCTGGCTGGGGTCTACACACGTTCTGCCCTCCAGCTGCAGAACAACAGCATCCAACAGTAAACGCTGCACAGTCAACTAACCCACACGTTCTCTGCAGATAAATGCATCATCACAGAACCATCTGTGGTTGATTCCATAAAGAACTACTCACTCTTTCCAGTAAAAAGTTTCACACTAGCAGGACTCTTTATTCCCAGTTCATCACAGATCTAAAAGGAAGAACAGAGAAGGTTCAATAGAAACTTACGATGGTGCTTCAAGGAATGTTTATGGTGTGGTCTCACCTGGGAAAAGGTCTCTGCAGTGATTTCTGGCTGGGCATTAAAGAAATGCAGAACATTGCTGGGATGCTGGATTCGGTTTTTAGCTGCTTGCTCTGTAGTGGTGAAGCGATTGTTGCGAGACCCATGAAAGTCTTTGAAGCTGCTGGTGCTGTCCTCTAGTTGATAGCACTGTCCTGGAACTATGGCCTGCTGCTTGGACACACTGCAAACACACACACCACGTGTACTTCAGTGTTTCCCTACCATTATACAAGTGGGGCGCCCTGCCCCCTTAACAGAACTGACCTGTCGGACCGAACTGCGTGCACCCCCCACCGTAACGCAATACAGGTGCGCTAGCTAAAAAGCTAAAGTCAGCGCTCACGCTGAACCACCGTTCAAAAACTGCCAGTACAAACAGCACGCAGCTCGACACACACACACACACACACATCATGGGTGAAATGAGCGCCCCGCCATGGCAGGTCATCTAGGACAAACACTGCACTTCATGTCTATGTTGAGCTGAGGACTGAGGACACGTTCAGCCGTCTACGTGTCCGTGTTGAGAAGAGTTTGGAGAAGCTCTTACCAAACATTAAGTTTCTGTCCAAACAGGAAGGTGTTGTTCAGGTGACTGATGGCCCTGTCCACAGAGTAACAGTCTCCCATCTCCACCATTGCTGCTCCAGGTTTACTCTTCATGAACTTGATCTGAAAATAAAGGGGAGACAAAAATATATTTTATTAGCAATACAGAGTTTTGTAATAATTCTAGTTTGTACTTCAGAGAAATAAGCTTGAACTGTCAGCAGTAACCATCCACAGGTGCTTTCTGACCATCTCAAATCTTCTTTAGGAAGGTAAAAATGTTAAAGCCCAAGATCCTCTGCTCTCAGTGAGGACTGAACTAGACAAAAGGACCTTCTCCTACTCCGCTCCCGTTTCCTGGAACATCTTGTAAAAAGACCTGAAGCTCTCGACCTTTGACCTCTCTAAGTGGCTTTAAGAATCTGTTGGACTCCTGGCAGGGACCAATGCAGACATGTTCCTGTTTTTAGTTTTCTACATTTCACCTTAGAATCTACGTTTTGTTACTTTTTTGCATCTTATTTGTAAAAAAAAAGATAAATAAATAAAAATCTGTATGCCTCTTTTTATAATTGTCCAATGTCGTCACCATTCTTTGTTAAATCAGGTCTCTCTTGTAAAGGAGTCCCTGAGGCTCAATGGGACTAAGCAGTCTAAATAAAGGTTGAATGAAAGCATCCTTGGCTGTAGTCCAGGGTCCTGCAGAGAACTGTTCTGGCTCCTTGCCTACTTAAGAACATATCGCAGTGACACGTAGAGAAAACCTCTGGCTGCTGCCTCATCACTGATGATGATGATGGCAGGAAGAACAAAAACAGATGCAGGACTTTGTGGACTGGTGACAAGCACCTTAGCACCAGTGCTTCTCAACTACTTTCTGCTACGCCTCCAACTCTGCTGCGACTGTAAATATTATCATTTGTCTATAATATTGTTAGAAGTATACCTCTGCATAACTTTGTGTCCTTATTAACATTAAAGAAAAAACTATATAGATCAAGTTAAAACAAGAAAAACTATTAACAGAGATATTTATTGATCGTGTCGGCAGCAGAGGGGAGCGACACGGTTCAAGCACGGCTCCCAAAACAAAACGGTCATATTTGTTCTAGGGCTAGAACGTCTACATCATTTAAAACTCGACATTAACATAATAAAACTCGACATTAACATAATAAAA